ATGGCCACTTACACAAAAGTATAGGTATTAAAGGGTGAATTGATGGTCCTATTTTCTGTTTTGACACACATATTTGTCATGACTATGATCTTCTAGAAATTATAATAGCAGCCTGGTGGTGGTGGAACACACTTTTAATCCCAGCACTTGGGAGTCAGAGGCAGGAGGATCTCTGTGACTTTGAAGACAGCCTGGTCTACAAAACGAGTTCTGGGACAACCAGGGCTATTACACAGAGAAACCCCATTGTGGGATATTTGATCACACTGTGAAACTCTGAGACAGTGTTAACAAAACTAACTTTGGATTGGGGGCAGAGCCAGCAACTAAACTGACAGGAATTAGCCATAGAGAGGACAGAGGAACCAGGAATGCTGATAGAGAGATACACAGGAAGGAGTAGGGAGGAACTTGGAGATTCATGGTCTTTTCTTGGTATGGGATGAGTGGAGACATGCTTCTCCTGCTGGGTCTCCAGTCAAAAAGGAAGGTCAGCTGGTTCCTCCTCAGCTTCTGGGATCTAACAGGTTTTTACACCAACATCTGACTCCCAAGTCTTTATTGGCAATTAGAATGATAGAGACTTAGTTAAAACTTTCATTTGATAGCCACAGCCAAAATGGTGCCAGTGAGACTGGAAATCCTGCCGGGCTACAGTCTGAGTGGCAGGGTGCTTACTGTGGGGCCACAGGGCCCAAAATGGTAGTTAAAATCCCAGTAGATTCAGGTGCAGCCCCTAAGCTAACAGAAAAACCAAAAAAAAATATGATAGTAACTCCATAGTAATTACTTTGCTTAATTTTCAAAATTGTCAGGTAGGAATTATTATAATCCCCATTTTTCAGTAAGAAATTTGAAGCTTATACTTAGAAATTAATACACTTGTGGGGGTAGATTCAAATATATACCTATAAGACTTTAAAACCTATGGAAACCTCATTGAGTGATTATAAATGATTTTCTATTTCTCTTTGTTCCTCTAACCTATTAAAAATAATGAATATTTTAGATTTTATACTCTTAACAGAATACTACATATTGCATATTTTTAAGACAATCTTCCTGAGCTGAATTTTCTCATACTTTTAGAGCAATTTAGAAGACAAAAGTACTATACACTGACAGAGTATATGCTGTTCTATTTTCTGATCAAGACATACAGTTTAGCAGAATATCATCAGTAACAATTTCATCGATTTTTTTCCCCAGTTGTGTTTGGTTCTATCCTGAGTCTCTGGGCTGTCCAGTCTCTGGTTCCTGGCCATAGAGGCAGTCAGGCACAGGATCCCTCTCACAGCATGAGCCTCAAGTTGGACCAGTCATTGGTTGGCCACTCCAACAAGTTCTACACACCATTACCCTACCACATCTTGGAGACAGCACAGATTGTAGGTTGGAGGTTATGTGGTTGATTACTAATGATATTCTGCTATACTCATAGATCAGTGTGTAGGCTTATTGTCATCAGAGAGTCTTCATGCAGTAACTGATGGAAACAGAAGCAAAGACTGAAACCCAAATACCAGGCAGAACCAGATGTACCCCCACAGAAGAGAGGAAAAATGTAGGAGCCACAGGGGTTGAGGACACCATATGGACACAGCCTACAAAATCAACTAAGCAGGACTCATAGGGGATCACAGAGACTGAAATGGTAATCATGGATCCTGTATGGGTCTGAGCTAGGCCCTGTGCACATAAGTTATGGTTGTGTAGTGAGGTGTTCTTCTGGAACTCCTAATAGGGGGATTGGATGGTATCTCTGACTCTTTTGCCTGCTTTTGGGACCCCTTTCCTCTTACTGGATCACCTTGTCCAGCCTTGATATGAAAGTTTGGGCTAGTCTTATTGTAACTTCTTATCCCATATTCAGTTGATATTCCTATGAGGACTGCTCTTTTTTGGAGGGAAACAGGAGTGGTCTAGGGGAGAGAGAATGTGGAGGGAGGATTGGGAAGAGTGGAGGAGGGAAAATTGCGGTCATGGGTGAGAGAAGAATGAAAGAAAATAAAAATATTTCAGTAGGGAGAATATATATACACATTTTGTTATATGTGAAGAATAAAATTTTATCAGATAAACAAACAAAAAACATACAATTTAGGGTTGGTGAGACAGCTTAGGGGTAAAGGAGTTCCTCCCAAACCTAATAAATAACTTGGATTTGATTCCCAAGATTCATGGTAGAAGGAAAGAAGTGACTACTGCAAGTTGTTGTCTCACCTCATCATACAACATAATAATGCATTATAAATACATATTTAAAAAGACATACAGTTTCAAGGGTCTTAGGGACATGAGGTTCAGCTCTGAGTTCATCCACAGTTTTGGAGGGCTCCTTGATTCAGCAGAATACCTTCCATGTAGAAATTAAGACAATAGTTTTCTTCTTTTTAGTCAATAATATTCATCACTTTAAACCTGAGTTATAGTATCTCATACTGAAAATATTAAAATAGCAATTGCTCCTTATGCAATTTTGCTTTTTATTACTTAGAAAAGGGAATCTTATAATACTAGCATAATTCCAATTTAGTAAAATAAAAATCAGACTCATGATTAAAATCTACTGATGATTATTTCATTAAAAATCTCTCAAAATTGTCTCTTGTAATTTGCTACTTAAATAGATGGCATTGTGAAATTTTAACATGCTTTTCTCAGCAGAAGGAAGTTCTATTTTACATATTTGTTGGAATTATAAATAACGCATTTTCATTACCTTTCTAAAATAGAATTTATTATTTCCACTTTTTTATTTTGATAAGTCAATGACAAACTTGGTTATATAAGACTTCAGATATTCAAATATTTTTAGGCTTCTATTCTTTCTTAGAGCATTTTTACATTTATTTTTCAGGATGTAAGTTGTTAGATTTAACATGGAAGTAAATAATCTACAACATTGAGAAATCTTCTTTTCTCATATTCCTTGACTGAGGTTTCTAGTCCTCATGATTGGGTGACAAGAGGTAGGTAGTTTTCACAGGTGGAGAAAGCTCAGAGCCTGGCCTCCACACAGCAGGTCTTCAGCATATGGAAACCACAATGAGGAAGCAGGAAATGAGGGTGAAGGTGAAGAGCAGAGACAAGGTGAGCATGCTGAGAAACAGACCCAGAATCACACTGACAGTGGTGTCTGAGCTGACAAGCATGGCCTGTAATTCACGGGTAAGAGAAATATGACATCATCCCCACAAAGACAGAAAGGAATTCAGCGATTGTTGTGATTGCTACTAAAAAGGAACTGGACTAGGCAGTGGTGGTACACATCTTTGAGCCCAGCATTCAGGAGGCAGAGGCAGGGAGATCTCTGTGTGTTTGAGACCAGCCTGGTCTAAAGAGGGAGTTCCAGGACATTCATGGCTATTATACAGAGAAACCCTGTCTCAAAAGACCAAAAAAATAAAACCCACTGGTCCAGGTTCCCAGGGTTAACCTTCAAAATGAGGGTATAACACAGGAGAGTGGAGATCTGCCATAAGCCACAACAGCATGGAGAATCATCTTTAGAAAGAAGGATGTAGTCATCTGGGCACTGCATACAGTGTAGGATATAGCTGAGGTAGTCTGTTATGACACTGAATTGCTGAAGAAGTAAATACCAAGGAAATACAGGATACCTTTGAAAGCAAACACAGAGGCATGAAGCTCTGTATCAACTTTAGCAACAATAGTGAGGTGCATCAATGGGGTTTGATAAACCACTACCATACTAAAATAGATGGCAACATGAGATTTTTAGATGATTAAACAAACCCAGCAAAATGAACAGTCACTTTACCACTGTGGCAGTTTGAATGTAATTGGCCCCCAACATCTCACAGGGAATGGCACTATTAGAAGGTATGGCTTTGTTGGAGTGGGTATGGCCTTGTGGGAGAAAGTGTGTCACTGTGAGGGGTGCTTTGAGGTCTCGTTTGTTCTAGCTTTGTTTAGTGTGACAGTTGACTTCCTGTTGCCTGCAAGACATAGGACTCTTAGCTACTTCTCCAGCACCATGTCTGCCTGCATGCTACCATGTTCCACCATGAAGATAATGGGCTAAACCTCTGAAACTGTAAGCCACCCAATTAAATGTTTTCCTTTATAAGAGTTGTCATGGTCATGGTGTCTCTTCATAGCAATAAATATCCTGAGACAACCACCATTACCAATAGCTACAATATCTCATTTCTTTTATCTGAAAAAGGAGATGTTCAATTTATTTTGATTTAGAAAGCAATTATTGGCCGGGCGGTGGTGGCGCACGCCTTTAATCCCAGCACTCGGGAGGCAGAGCCAGGCGGATCTCTGTGAGTTCGAGGCCAGCCTGG